CTTGCCCAGCAGATTTCCACATACACACGTTTACACCCCTATGTTTGCATGCACACACATATACACACAACTGACTGCCCACCCTGGAAGCACAGAAGAAGAAGAAGCCACCCAACTTTGGTCCAGGTGCCAGCGCCTGCGGCTGGCTGCAGCCCAGGAGACGAGAAGCCACCTGCCCGAGGTCCCAGGCTGTAGCCACCCGGAGAAGCTGCCAGCCCTGTGGTCCAGGGCGCCAGCGCCTGAGGCCAGGGAAATAGGTTCCCTCTTCTCCTACTGCAGTCATTACTTCAATATTCCCCTTCTGAATTTCTCTCCTGTGCTGCAACCCAACTCTACTTTTCATCAGAAGGATACAGAACAGAGAGAAGAGTGTTAAAAGCTTACATTTTTAAGCCGGTAAGGTTGGTACTTAAACATATAAATGGAAAACTAGAGTCCTTAAGGTAACAAAGGCTACAGAGGACAGGGACAGTGCATGACCTATTATATCCAGCAATCCATATGGGGACTGAAAATTTTGCAATGATGACAATTAGTGAAGATATGAATCAACTAAAATAGTTGACAGGGACAATTCTTCCATCTTTGAAAATATCTACATCAAATCTGTTTAAATAGATTTTCATCTGCATAATATAACACATTCTGAAAAGACCACCACCAATGTGGTCAGTGTTGTGCCAATAAATGTTTAATAACTGAGGGACCCCCCCTGAGTGCACAAATTTTTGTGCACAGGGCTACTAGTATATATATAAAATGCTAATATGCTAAGTGTCCGACTGTTCGACCGTTCCACAGTTCGACAGTTTGACTGATAGCTATGACATGCACTGACCACTAGGGGGCAGATGCTCAACACACAGGCATGGAAACATGGAACAGACTGATGAATCTCAGAGGGAAGGGGGGAGGGGAGAAGGTGGGATGAGATTAACCGAAGATCTTATATGCATACTAGAGGCCTGGTGCATGGATTCGTGCACTGGTGGGGTCCCTTGGCCTGGCCTGCGGGGAAGGAGCTGAATCCATGCACCAGGCCTCTGACATCCCCTGAGGGGTCGCAGATTGTGAGAGGGTGCAGGCCAGGCTGAGGGACCCCCCCAGTGTACGAATCTGTGCACCAGGCCTCTAGTTTTCAAATAAGATATTCTGTAGGTGGTTGATTTTTATAAGATACCTGTGGTTTCTCATGGTGGTGGTACATATTCTGTGAAAAAACCTTGTAATTTTTGATTGGTTGGAACTTTTATATGTTAGCAGTAAATGTTGGAAAGAATGAAAAACAGAACAGAGGCAGTCCCCAAGGTGGGGCCTTGGTCACACCCTCCTTCCACGTCCTCTGTGGAGCCACACTTATTGTCAAGTCTGTCTTCCATATCACTCTTCAGTTTAGCACATACCACAGTCCCCTCATCTTGTTCCTTATGAATATAATGCAGCAGTAACCTAAAAACTGAATAAAATGAATTAGGAAATGCACTATATCTTTAATATAATAGAGTTTACTGAGTTTTGGGAAGCATTCAACCAAAATTACTTGTGCTTTTCTTATTTTTTGCTAACTATTTCTTAGCTAATTTATGTTAAAATATCTTACTCTGCCTAGAATGTTTCTGAGAGATTTTTAAGAAAGCATCACAGTACAGATAAAGAGTTTGGCATTTCCAGGCATAGAGACTTTGGTTTAAATCTCAACTTTGCCAAATGAGCCTCTGTACATCTTTTAACTTTTAAGATTGTCAGTGTCTCCATCTGTAAATTTGGAATGATAATAGAATATAAATGACAGAAATTTTTAGGGGAACAGTAATTATACCTTTAAAACAGGTAGTGTAGTTATACAGTAGTTATTTAATAGACAGTGAATTTTGAGTACTTGAAGTTTTTAATTTTTTTAGCAAAGAACTTCTCTCTACCACATTCTCCCTTAACAAGATTATAAAAATAATTTGAAACCATCCTAAATTTGTTTGCCTATCTCTGTAAGAATCTGAAAAATCATTATATCAGGCCTCATACTGAGAGTATTTTCTCCTATGAGGAATTCACGTTCTCTTTCTTTCTGTTAAGAAACATCTCAAATTTTTCATGATTATTATACATCTAGAATAAATACACTTCCTCAGAAATAAGACTTTATTTAAAACAGTTCTTTCTTTAAGGAGAAAATGTCATTTTCTGGTATTTCCCCTGATTCATCCTTGTGCCTATTCTTGTACCTGGAGCTTGTATTCATGGGATTACATAGTGATGACCTTCAGAGACGTTCCCAGCAGTCTGGGCTTCTTTCTCACTGGGTTCTGGGAATGAGGTCTGGTACTTTCAACTTACAGTCACAAGGTATAGCTACAATGACATGTCCCTTTCCACTGCTTCCAAATCCTACAGAGCAAAACATCATGCCAGTTTATACTTTCCTTTGACCTCTTCCTCTACATACTTCTGCTCTATAATTCTATCCCTTGATAACTGTCAATCAGTAGCTACCATGCATTCTGAATTACAGCTAGTTACATTGATTTTTGGAGCCATTCAGCAAATAGCACCCAGTCTTAAAGTTTCTTGGTCTGGAAGACTGTTGCATAACACTGTCCAAGAAGTCTTTTATGAGATGATGACATTTAAAGCTATGGTGAGAAATAAACCTATGAATTATTCCTGTAGTAAGTAGTGACTATGCACCAACACTGCAGGATACCTGGAGAGTTCTCACAGAATCCAGACCTGGAGTGGTGGGAAGAATAATGACCTACAAAGACATCCAAGTCCTAACTCTCAGAACCTGTGAATGTGTTAGGCCAAGGGTAAGAGGAGTTAAGTTTGCAAACAAACTTACTGTTGCTAACCAGCTGGCCTTAAAATGAGGTAATCACCCAAGATTATCTGGGTGATACCAGTGGAATTGCAATGGTCCTTAAAAGTAGAAGAGGGGGAAAAATAGAATTATTTGTAGATGTACTAGAAGGAAGGCACAACAAATAGAACTTTGCTGGCTCTGAAGGTAGAAAAAGACAGCTATAAGCCGAGGAACATGGTGACTTTTAGGATCCAGAAAAGGCAAAGAAATGCATTCTCCCCTGGAAACTCTAGAAGAATTGTAGCCTTGTAGCACCTTGGTTTTAGTACAGTAAGACCCATGTCAAGACTTCTACAGAATATAAGATCGTAAATGTGTGTTGCTTTATGCTGTTTAGTTTAAGTTTGTGGTAATTTGTTACATGGCCATATAACATTAATTCACATGTCTTGTTTCCTTTTTCCTGTGAGAAGAATGACAAGTTAGTGATATTTACATGTGGGTACTGCAAATACTGGGGAGATCATTTTGTGAAGTATATGATTGTTTCACCAATATGCTGTGCTTACAGAGGGAGAGTATAAAGAGAGCAAAACTAGAAAAAGAATTAAGGGATGTCTATTTATCATTTTCTTCCATATTCTTATTGCATCTTTTTCTAAATGCTGCCAACAAAATGCTTGCTTAGAAATCCAGGGAAGCACTCATTGACTGTTTATGAATTGAAATGTTATAATCTATAATGGTAGAGAGGAAAGTCTTTGCCCTCTTCCAAAAATTAAATTGTCATACTATTGTCTCTCATCATTGATGTTTCTGTCTCTCTCTCCCTCTACTTTCCTCTCTGAAATCAATAAAAACATATTTTAAAAAATAAATCATCATAATAAAATAACTATTTGAAACATCTAGGAGTGTCAAAACTATTACACCTCAAGACAAAAATGGCTCATTGTGTATTATAGTTTTATATGATTCCATCATAGCAATTTGTTCAAATGATTCCTGTTAAAAAGAATGGGCCACTGAGTAATCTTACTACAAACCTTGAAGAAAATGAGACATTGGTCTTTCTGTGAGTCGCAAATGTTTGCCTCTTCTTCTTTTATAAATACTCAAAGATACTTTGGGAGATTGAATGCTGTTTTAGAAAATCTAGGCTCACCAATGAATACCATGGACAGTACTGAGAAGGTCCATCTACACAGGTCACTTAGCACATTTGAATGTGATAAACTTCTGGGAGGACCACTTTGACTTGTAATCTCTGTCTGCCTCTTTTCACTTATTTCCTTCTATATGTTTGAGTTAAATGTTGTAATGAGCATTGTAGTATGTTTGAACTAATTACCAGCATTCATTGATAAATGGTGATGGACATAATGATATACATTCTATAAAACATATAGAGTGTAGAAGAGATTTATTGTCTTTGTTACAGCTCATAAAATATGTGAATAAAATTTGAAAGTTTGAAACATTGTCTCAAAGTAGAGATGGCCCTAGCAGGATTTTTTTTTTAACACTCTGTGGTTGATATACTGATGCTTTAGTGAAAGGAGAGTTTGGGGAGAGGACATAGAAAGAGATAGGGGGTAATTTCCCTAATTCAAAAATAAGGTAATATCTGTGATTTCAGGCATTATGTAAAAGAAGATAAGATGGTTGCCAGAGGAAGGAGGACTGGGGGATTGGGTAAAAAAAGGTAAAGAGTTTAAGTACAAATTGGCAGTCACAAAATATTTGGGGATGTAATGTATAGCATAGGGAATATTATAAATATATACTGGAGGCCCAGTGCAGGAAATTTGTGCACAGGTAGGGTCTCTAGGCCAGGCTGGCAATCAGGGCCGATAGTGGCCTTCTGGCTTCCACCTGCTGACTGGGGCCTCCCTTAGTTCCATGCTACACCCTGGTGGTCAGCACACATCATAGCAAGCAATTGAACTCCCAGTCTCCGGGTCAAACTCCTGAGGGGACACTTTGCATATTAGCCTTTTATATATATGGATTGTTCCAGGTGGGTACTGCAAATACAGGGAGATCACTTTGTAAAGTATATGATTGTTTAACCACTAGGCTGTGCACCTGAAACTAAAACAAAATAATATTAAAGATAAAATGTAAACAATAAAGATTTTTTTAAAGAAGATATGGAGCATAATTTGAAAAAGAAAGGCCCTTGTCTTTCATGTTGCAGAGAATGTCGGATTAGATTCTGAAGTCGCTAAAGCAAACAGCCTGGGTTTTGTTGGGTGCCTGTCTTCAGTCCAGTACAACCACATAGCACCACTGAAGGCAGCTCTGCGCCACGCAACCATCGCACCTGTTATCATTCAAGGAGCCCTGAGAGAAGCCAGCTGTGGCTCTGGGACGGATTCGGATGTGAATGCAGTGACTACGGTGCATTCTTCCTCAGGTACACAAGAGAATACCCAGTGGAACTTACACCAGTAGCATTACTTTTGATGTCTTCAAAAGCTTCCAGGTTAAAGATCAATATTACTCAATTCCTTACCTTATATGAATATAGGTGGTTAAAAAGTATGATTGATTTCTCATGGGTAATTTTCATTTATATTAATGTAGTCCTACTTTTAATACAATGACTACTTAGAACTAAAAGCATATTTACATATATTACTAAATAGACATATGTTAGTTACTACTATTTAAAATGGCTGCTCCTCTAAGGATTAAAGAGTTTAGGGCTCAGAAAGGCAAACTGGCTGTTGACTAATATAAGTCATGTGATTAAAACCTACTTTTTTAATATAGGAAAGCCCCACAGCACTTTCATCCACACATGCATCTGTTTTACACTCCGTAAAGTACCTATTTTATCTTGTCATATTCATGATCATCCTGGATGTCTTGAAGTGTTCCTGGTATTTGTTTTAATTTAGAGTGGTAATCAGCTGCTGAATAAGTTATTGAATATTAGCACAGAAAGGGCTGAGTTTTGCTGCCTGCTCACTCTGATCTCTGCATTTTCCTGCAGCAACGAGGTGCAATAGAAAGAACCCGAATGTGACAGTCGGCCAGCCCTGATTTAGTTCCAAATCTTCTATGAATGAGCTCTAGGGCTCTGGACAAGTTAATTATTGGCATCAATGTAATGTCCTTATCTGTGAAACAGGAAAAATAAAGAGTTCCCATGCTATCGTCTTTTTCTAAGGATTAAATGATCATAGTGATAGATGCTACAGGTCCTGGAAATCTCACATGTACTCTATGCATATGTATGGGTGTTATTAATAAGTGTCACCTATTAATGCATTTGCAGATTATGTAAACTTGTATCTAGCTCAATGTCACTGGACCAAATGGCAGAGCAGTAACTCAAACCCACATATATGTGCTTTTAATGCAGTGTACTTTTCCTTATCCCGTGTATGCTAACGTCCATAAAGTAAAATCCCCTCTCCTTGGTGAGGGTTTGAGATATTAAATCTTCAGCACTTTTGTCCCTCCCTGTCAATGGGCGCAGTGTCCTCTTGCAGCAGAAGCAGAGGGGCATGTGTGCTTGAGGTGAGAAGCCATTGTCATGCAGAGGGACTGTCCAACCAAGCACAGAGGGTAAGCCAAGAGGGAAGCAGTAGGCCACAGCACACATGGGCAGGGTACTGCCATCATCTGTTTTAAGCACTGATCTTACAAATTACATAGACGCTTACCAGGTCATGCAACTATGGGTATTAAGTACGTGTTTCAAATGCTTTTTTATGAATGTCTGCTTGATTTTTTCCCAACATCCCAACTCACCATCATTGGAGAGCAATTGGTCTCATCCTCAGGTGTGTCATCCCAACTCCGTGCAATAGTCCTCATCCCAGGACTTTCAGTGAGGAGTGAAGGCTCCTGTTTCTTACTTCTTTCAGATCCATTTGGGAAGAGAGATGAGCGGGAACCACTCAGCAATGCAATTCAAAGTGACTCGGCTGTCATTGGAGGTAAACCATTCTTTGTTGATGAAAGCAGAAAAGGCACAAGTAATTCTGTACTTTGGAGAAGTGTATCTGAATCCTTCCTTAATGCCATCCAGGACCCAGAACCCCACTGTTCCTGCAAGTCCATGAGCCTTTTTCACAAACAGTTCTGTGTGCTGTATGGCGCCAGCAGCTCCATAGATGCACCACGGATGCACCCCACCCTGATCCTCAGGCAGCTGACTACTGACTCAACAGCTGGATAATTTACTTAGAGACAGGCAGTGTGCGTTGTATTCATCTCATCCTGATGTCTTTTTTCCTGAAGCACAAGCAAAGCAAACCAGTAAAATTACATATGGGAAAGGGCCATACTGGAGTAGACAGATGGGGGAAGCTGCATCCTGTTGGGTTGCTCCATAAGCGATTGGGGTTGGATCTAATGAGCTGGATGTGAAGCCCTCAGACTGTAGTTTTGATCCAGCAGCACATGGTACAGATGCAGATCTTGGTTGCTCTGAGGTGAGCTCAGCTCCTCCACTCCCTTGACTTCCCACTGTCTCACTGCCTGCTGGCCTCCCAACCCCTTTCATTCGCCTCAGCTTTCTGCAGCCTCCAATAGTCTTGATTTTGCCATCTGGGTCTTGCAACACAGATTGCCTCCCAAACCTGTTTAATGGCAGATGCCTGTGAGATACTAAATTCATTTCCATCTGAGGACCACTGCCTCTGGCCGTTAGGTGGGGTTCTTTTAAAAGATGGCAGTAGCCACTGATTTAACTTCTATTTGATGAGCCCCAACTTTGGGTCAGGGCTTGTGCTCAGTATAGAAATAGAGGGTGAAAGATATGGGCACTGCTCTCAAAGAGCTCTTGGTCTGGTCGGGGGCAGGCCGAATAAACAGACGACCTGGAGGCCATGAGCAGTGCTTTGAGGGGAAGTGCAAACAGCTATGGGAGCTCAAAGGCGCAGCATCGCAGTGGGATTGTGAGGAAAGAAAACCTGTGTTCTTAAGGAAGGTCCTAAAATGTCTGACATGAATTTTTGCATCAGGGAAGAGAGTCCAACCTGATTGTAGTTTGGCATCAAGGAATGTAGAAAATAATTTGGTGCCTGTTTCGCTTCCCGTAATTAATTTCTCATTTGACAAGTGGAGAAAAGGCTTATGTGACCGCTCACTTTTTCCCACCTGTGTACATCTTTTTGTAAGTATCTGTAAGAGCAAGAAAGTCATCCCAACCCCAGGGGACTCTCGGAAGCTGGCGCAGCCTCCCACTCTGAGTACCGCATGTGCTGGGAGGAGCAGCCAGTTTGTGTTTCATCTCCTAAGGCTCAGCTGTTCCTGGGAGTCACCCACCGCCCAGCTCATTCATAGGTTTGTTAACTTAGGAGGTTTCACTCTGTCTGGTTCTAAAAGCATGGCAGACATATTACATAATGCTTTATTTCCAAAGGTAAGCTGTCTTAATCAGGGCCTCCGCTCTGATAAAAATCCATAGGGGATATGCATTTAATGTTTTTAACTCTCTAAAGTTCCTGTTCACATAAATCACAATGCAGGGTGTTCAAAAATAACTTTGTTAAATAAACATATTTTACCAATATCTATCCTACTTAAAGGAAAACAGAAGGTTACATACTAATATTTCAACAATATTTGCAATAACTTAAAGAATAAATAGTTTTCAAATGTTAATGTTGAGAAGCCTCCATTCCCATGTAGACACATCCTCCTTTTAGAAGTGGCAGCGTCCACATTCCTAATATCCCTTTGCTGAGTTTGCTCTTCATATCCCAAGAGGCTTCCTGGCAAAGACAGAAATAAGCCCTTAGAGGTCAGCAAGGGCGATTTGCCAAGTAGGCCCAGTAAAATCACAAACAAGCAAAGCAGGAGGAATCTGACACAATTGGGCAGAAACTTGCATTTCAGCTTGCTTTGCGTTTCCGAAGGACAGAGGCATACCGTCTCTAGCTAACCTGTGCCTGGCAGCATGCAGAGCAGGGTAGGAATGCCCTAAATGTTTGGGAAGCATTTTGTTATTAATAAAACATTTTAGCAAAGCAAACCTATACCATCACCACGTTTATGTCAGGAGAGCATTATTGTGATGTGAGATAGTTAAATATTATTCCCTAGGATGCAAAAGTAGTCATAAAATGCTTATTTGCAAGGTGACAAAAATGTGTTAATTGCAACTGATTCTGTCACATTCTTTAAAGAGGGTCTTGAAGAAATTTAATAAAATATTTTGCTAGTCTATTTATTTCATAGCAATCTTAGTCCATTAAATACAACCGCTGATGTAAACTGGCTTTCTCCCTATTCTGGAGGAGGATGCTTTTTGTAAATGAAGACTACAGGTGTTTCAGCTGCTCTTTATTTCTGGGCCTGTGGCAGAGTTTTATTGTTGTTTTGTTTTATTTTCTTTTGTTTCCTCCTAAGCGGCTTCCTTGTCTGACTGAATCATCTCTCTGGAGTGGATGAGCTGTGACAATGTTTTTCTCTCATTGCCCCCTTTCTCCACAGGAGTAATCGCGGTGGTGATATTCATCATCTTCTCCATCGTGGGCATCATGGTGCGGTTCCTTTACCGGCATAAGCAGTCGCATCGCACGAACCAGATAAAGGAGAAGGAATACCCAGCAAACTTGGACAGTTCCTTCAGAAATGACATTGACTTGCAAAATACAGTGAGCGAGTGCAAGCGGGAATACTTCATTTGAAAATCTACAGGGTCAACTAATGCTCTTTTGTTGTTAATTTTTTCTCCTCCTCTTTCTCTGTCTCTTAATTCTGGTCCTTTTCTTTTTCTTATTTGTTCCCCATTTATTTTTGGATCATACCTGCATCAACCATGGCATTTACCCCTGACCCAGCCCAGAAGACCAGGCAGCTATGGCCACTGTCTTCCTCTTTGACAAACCTACTGTGATGGTAATGATCACTCGAGACTGACTTGACTTCTAGACAAGGAAGAGACATGTGTGCACCTGTACATATTCAGTTCTGTATTCATTTCTCAGATGCACCTTCGGTTCGCTGCCATCCGTCCAGCAGGCTTACTTTGAACCTGAGGTTGACTTAGCTATTATCAGCCATCTTTGACATCCTCCCTATCTCAAGTCTGTTCCGACCAGGGAACTGAGGGTAGGAAAGAAGATGCTAGAGGCCTGGATTCCTTCAGTGCCATTTTAAAAGGAACAAGAGAGGATTGTTTTGTGTTAATATCTGCATCAAAGGAATCCCACTAACCTAACTCATAACCTCTTTTAACTCTGACTCTTATCCCCTGAGTATTTTTAAACATAGGGGTCCTGATTGCAGTGAGCTGTCCTTGTGCTCCTGCCTTACCACTCTCTCCAGGGCCGACACACTGAACAGCATACTCCAGCCTAACATTAGAGGAAAAATATATATATATCTGAAATATAAAACATTCAAATAACAGTTTAAATTGGTTCCATGAACGAGCTTAAGCCATCATAATTTAGCTTAAAAAAAAACACAAAAGAAGAAAAATACCAACCAAACACAATTCTTCCCCTCCATCTACTCACTGGACATCTTGTGAAGAAAGTAGATGCAGGCTGTATATTTCAGAGCAAGTGTGATGACCCCCCTGTCCATCGAGCCAGCTCCTAGGAGGTTCAGGATGCACTGGCCTGAGGCATGGTTAGCTACAGCCAATCCTCCCTGCTAACCTTCGGAGGAGCCCCTGGGCTCTGGAGCACATCACATTTTCAAATCTGCACACGTGCACACTCACACACATACATGCACGCGTCTTCTTATAGGCATAATGTGCTAGACAAGGTGGTGACAGATTTCCTAGCCTTTTCCCCTTTGATAACAAAGCATCAGAGAAACACAATCATTCCTTCAAGAAGGCATCTGAGCTCACCCACCAGGTGGAGGTAGGAATGCTGGCCATTTTGCTGCAGCAATATTCCTCACCCTTTGCCTCTGGGCCAACTTGGAGAAAGACATAAGGGGAAGCAATATAAATGCTCCAGGATGTGGGCAAGCCCATATAATGATGCGCAGAAGTGGAGCATTCTTGCTGCTTCTCTTTACAAGGCAGATTCGATAGGGGAAACAATCACCGCATCACTGTTCCCGGCCTTGACAGTGGGCTGTCCATCTTGTCCCCAGGGTTAAGGCAGCCCTACGTGAGGAGGCTCCAGCGAGGCACACACTGGCTTCTGATTTTCGGACTTTTCAGACTCTGCTCTCAGAGAACGTGGTGTAAGGATTTCGTTTGTAATCTATTTCTCAACTTTAAGATGTTCTAATTACAGGCTCTCCTTGAAATTGTCTCCGAACTGTTACTTAATCATTTCATCACTTCCATTATATCTTTTTGCTAGTAAATTTGTTTTAATGTGATTCTAACAAAGGCACCGTTTTTTTTCTTCTACTTTAATAAGATGAATGATCTATTAATAGGAGAAAAGGTCTTTAAATACTGTTTTCTCCTGCCCTGTCCTTTCCTATTTCCACTTTTACTTTTGAGTTTTCTATTTCTATAAAAAGTCTGTATAAATCAGCCATTTGCTAAGCTATTCAGTCCTTTGTCCCGGGAGATAAAAGTCTCCATGAAATGTAGTGGGTTTAGCCTGAAGCCTCTCTGATAATGAAATGGAAGGTGTGAATAATAAAGCTGGGGAAAAAAAGGTTGATATTTTGCTGATGCAGTGCTGACGGAAGAAGTGGAGGACTAGTCAGGCCAACGTAGAGTATTTGCTTTTCTCATCTACAGATATATGATCATAGGCAGTTCTGCAGGTGAAGAATTAGCAATGCCCCGTCCTTGCCACTGGGAACCTGCCAGTGTAGCTCCCTGCATATGCAGACTCTATATGCCACACACTACGTATCCTAGTCCTGAAGACAAATGACATGACAAGACAGCGCACTCTGCATGCCACTCTTAGAGGAGAGTCTCAGGGCTGCAGTAGAAATACCTTTACAGGGAGGGATTATTTCATAAACTCGGCAAACTTTCTTTTACTAGATCAGTGATGGCGAACCTATCACACGCTTGTCAGAGGTGACACGCGAACTCATTTTTTTGGTTGATTTTTCTTTGTTAAATGGGATTTAAATATATAAAATAAATATAAAAAATATAAATCTTTGTTTTACTATGGTTGCAAATATCAAAAAATTTCTATATGTGACACGGCACCAGAGTTAAGTTAGGGTTTTTCAAAATGCTGACTCGCCGAGCTCAAAAGGTTCGCCATCACTGTACTAGATACATATGACAGCAAGTGAGCTGCCTCCTCCAAAGAAAACTCAATTTTTAGTTAGAAATAGTGCCAACTCTGCCTATCTTTTCTCAGTGGTACCACAATCCATGTAGTTTTGTGCAGTTTCTTAATTGTGTGAGTTTTTCAATCTTTGAACAATTATACCCTGAAAAGGATATTGAAATCTTTCTAATTCCTCCTTTACCACCCTTCCTGCTTCAGTAATCACATTTTCTGAATGCCTTCCTTGGCCAACTGGACTACCATAAGTCTCCACTTTAACCTTCAGTCTTTATTAACTGCTGTTTACACAAAAAATATTTTAATCAAATGTTGTCACCGTACAGTAAAACCAAAAATACCTTTGTAATTTCACATTCTAAGGGGGCTATTTCATGGATATTGTTCCGCCAAACAAATATATTTATGCAAGCAATAGTACATCTGTTTACCATATAGCATATTTACTGCATCATTCATTGTATCAGTAAGTTAGATTGCCAGGGTTTCTATGAGAATTCATCTGGAGAATTAGAGACTTGTCACTTCTCTAGATATATTTTTATGAATAGCTTAGCCTCTTCTATTCGCTCTCAACTGCATATGAGAGATTTATCTTAAGGATCCTGGGGCTGCTTTTTAAAATAGGTATTATTCTCTTTAATATTAACAGGCATGGTAATAAGCCAACTTCACCCTTTTGGCCACCATAAAGCAGGACCAGAACAAAAGAACTAGATTGTTATCTTTCTTTCTTGATTCACTCATGAGGTATTTATTCAATACTCAGTACCCCAGGGGCTGGGCTAGATTTTGGGTGTGAAATATAAATTACACCTTGTGCTTGCCTGAAGTCTAACGCGTTTTGTTGTAACAAGCATGTCTTGTTATAGTAGCATATGCATAACGTGCTGTAGAATGTAGAACAAAGGTACTGCACAATTATTTTTGTGAATCCCTTGCTAGAGACTTAAAAACACAAAAAACAACAAAAAGGGGCAAATTTCTGGAAAATATTTGTAATCTTTTTTCTTGTTTATTACTTTCAACTTCAATAAGCTGCTTTTCTCCTCCTCAAAGCAAATACATATTGATGCAGATATGTTCCTGCAGGGGGAGACAGAATTCATCTTTCAGGGCAGCAGGAATAAATGTCTTTGTCTCTAAAGTATATCTGGAGGCTGAATTCTCCTTATTCACTTCTGGTTGGGGGAATTCTGAAAAGCCCCCTTCCCATCAACCAGTCCTAAGTTACAATTTAGGAACTCTCTTCTCCACTTCTGCTCCCTCCTCCTCTTTTATTAGTTCTTCTTTAACATCCAGTTAGGACTTATTGCATGCCATTGCTTTTCCAGATGCTTTTAAGGGTCTTTGTTGTACTCCAACTCCTCCTAAAACTCTCTTTTGTCCTGATGAGCATTCTGAGAACCAGATGAAGTGTATCTTTGAGCAAATAAGTGACTAAATGTTGTTGTCCATTTAAGTGAGGTCTCAGCTCTGTGCCCCGGCTGAATTTTTTCAATCCTGAGAGTCATACATGTCTCCTCAGCAGAAAGCTCATTCAATTAGAGGAGTAGCACGGGGGGCTGTAAGGAAAGAGTCTTTTCCAAGATGTTCAGAAAGATAGGAACCAGACCATTGGGATTATCCTATATAATAAAAGCCTAATATGCTAAGTATCTGATCATCCATTCAACCAATCAAAACATAGTATGCTAATGATATGCTAAGGCCACTCAACCACTCACTATGACGTGAACTGACTACCAGGGAGCGCATCCTCCAACCAGTAGGTTAGCTTGCTGCTGGGGTCCAGCCAATCAGGACTGAGCGAGATGGGCCAGACATGCCCTGGAGCCCTCCCACAGTCTCTTCCCAGCTGGCCAACCTCCAGCATCCCTCCCCAGCCCCTATTGTGCACCAGTGAGGTCCCTCAGCCTGGTCTGTGCCCTCTTGCAATCCAGGACCCCTCTGGGGATGTTGGAGAGCTGGTTTCAGCCCGATACCGCAGGCCAAACCAAGGGACCCCACAGGTGCATGAATTCATGCACTGGGCCTCTAGTTTCTTATAAAAAGGATTGACAGTTTGATCACCAACACCTGGGTTTTCTTTGAATTCTTCCATAGCTACAATCTAACAAAACCACCTGGTAACATCAGCCTGAACAGGGGAATGTGAGATGCACTTAACCTAAATGATTGGATGCATTTAGTCTTCAGTTCTCCTAAAGGTCACAAGTTGACCCAATAAATAAAGAGGGCCCCTTTTTCCTGCCGATGCAAAAGTGATTAATGGAAAAAGTTGAAACCAAACTCAAAACTTTCAGAATATTTTGAGCACAACTGAGTGCTATTTCATGTGTCTCATGCAGTTTGAAAATGTCTTCTCTAAAAGAAACAAAGTGTAATTGAATTACTTCCATACACTGCTCTTCAGTTGTTCTTAACATCTCCTCCTATTCCCTCACCCACACACTTGTTAAGCCATCTAATTTTTAGATATTGGTTGTCCATGGTTTTATCATGCTTTCATAATTCCATATAGTTTAACCTCCTAGAAAGAATAAAAATGCAAATACACACATATACAAACACTTCGTAAAAATAGGGCTGCTGTTTATGCTTTCTTCAGGACATTCTATACACGTATCTGTTTAATAGGGAAAGGCACACATTCCATTTTGAGGTGTCATTTATTTGAAACCATCATATAAGTTTTTAATATTTTATTCTTTTGCTATTTAAGTAAACGTTCTCTTATTTTGCACTAAGGTACTCTGAGAAAGAACAAAAAAGCACATTTTTTAGTGAAATATTGTACTTTGTAAGCTAGTTGTCTGTCTTTTGTAGCATAGAAAGTCCATGAAGTGGTTAAGCAGACATGAGCAAGAATTAAGACAAGAGTTGTTTTGATGTTCTGAGCACAGCTGCTGGGAACATGTTGAGGAGGAATGTGTGGCAAAATTTGGTAGCTGTCCCAGGTGAAGAGGGCCACTGAATCCACCATGGACTAGTGGCATCAGCTCTTCCCATTCTCCTGGCTCCTAACTCAGGAGTCTCTTTAGTACGTCTGATCATTGGCTCAAACATTAGGGAAAGAGGCAATATCCTGGGCTTTGCATGAAGAATTTTTTACTGCACTTTGCCTAATATTGTTGACAGTTCCCAGCCCTACTCTAACCACATCTCTTTTTTCATGATTTTAATTTCATCAGGATTTCTCCAGAAAATTTAGAGCTATCACCATGTGATCGAATGTGCCTAGGTTGAGTACCTAGATACAACTTTAAAGAAATGAAATGATCAGAAAAATCCTAATTCACTCTCCTGATCTATCCTGATTGGAAACCCCATTGATGGAATCCCTGAAGTCCTGAAATCCATGGGCATATCATAATGACAAAAAAAAAAAAGTAGGCCCGCTCCATTCCTGAAAGTCAGGGACCCACCATCTAACATTACCTGAGAATACTGTTTTCTTCAATCCTCCCTGGTGGCAAAGAAAAACTCTTACAGATAATACTAAAAAATTAGGAGAGTAGTCCCAAGCCATGAACAAAAGTGAAGCTAATTGTTTTAGGGATTAAATTTTCTCTTATTTTGATTAGCATCATATTCTTCCCTGTCTCAAATGCCAGAATAATCTCAGAGCACATGTAAAGGTACCGTGTATGCAAAAGAAGCATCGCCGTGCCCTGGAGAGTCTCTGGGAGACCCATAAAATAAACATTCAGTGAAACTTTAAGAGATAATAGTAATAGACATCTAGACATAGATTTCCATTATGGCCAACCCCATCCCAAAAGCTTTACAGGAAATATTAACATACTTTCTTCTCTTTGAATGGCCGTGTCATCTGTATAACCCTATTCTTTCTAAATACACAGAAATATCAAACCTTGCTTAAATGGCATAGTTATATTGTGTGAAGGACTTTGTGTTTAGTAAGGTCCAACAAGCACTTTCCTTCTGAATCTGGTTGTTTCCTGGCTTCCTGGTGACCTGTGCTATCCCAGGCTGTCACTTCCATCAGTCAACTGGAAGAAGCAAAAGGCCTCTGGGAGCAAGAGTGCTGGCTGAGGGGGAGCTGAGGCTCAGCCTCCATGAATGATGGGTAAGGAGTCAGTTAAGATTTTTCTGTAGAAACAGAGAGTCTATATTTTAGGATTTGTAGACAGACTCTGTTGCAACAGCTCACCTCTGCTGTTGTGCAGGAAGGTGGCCATGCATAGGCAAACGGTCATGGCTGTGTTCCAGTGAAACTTTATTTATGAAAAGTAGGCAAGAGGTCAGATTTCATCCACAGGCTGTGATTTACTGGTCTCTTTGACAGAGCATTGAAGTGTCCATTTCAGATGGGAGATCCATGTCATACTGGCCTGAAGTCCTTTCTGAGGAATGAGAAAGAATAGGGGGATTAATGTTAACAATTAAACAATAAACTGCAAAACAACTTCCTGCAAAAAATATACATGTCATACTCTATTTATGGCAAAAGCAGACAACAGGTCATCTCTCTTCGTAGATCTGTCAGAGACTAGCTTTTCCTCTTAACCTCCTTATTTTTCTTTTCAAAACAGAATCCCAAGTGATGTTGCCTCTTTCTACCAGTTTTGTAACCCATGTAACATGTCTTAATACACTGTATGGGGAAAATAAAAGTTAGCCTTAGATTTCTTTGTTTTCTATGATTATTGTTGTACAGAAGAAAGATTTAAACTGTAAATAATGTATATTTAATAAAGAGAAAATTTTGTATGATTTTGTGTGGAAGAAAAAAAAATGTGCCTTTCTGTGTTTCCTTGAGTTAATGAAGAATCAAACAATTCCTCCCTTAGCT